GTAGCAGACTTTGAGCAGTTATGTTGGTGTGATTTTAATACTTTTTTCTTACAAATCCTACTGTATATAGTTTTTTTTAAATATCATTCTTTTTCCTGCTGGAAGGTATTGGAACCTCTTATAATTTATAAGGTAAAATGTGAGACTCAGGAACATCTGTCATTCTGTGGAGTGCACTGTGGCATCCCAAACCCATGTGAAAGAGAGGCATGCACAGTTCCCACAGATGTCACTGTATATCCCAATAAATATTTCAGGATCTGCTGTATGAGCCTGATTTTATTGTTTGTCAGCACATCTGTGGGATGAAGATGCATTAAGTTGAGGCATGTCAAAAGGGGTAGAAAGAAGATGGAGCTTTGAAAGAGCCAGATCCTGAATACGATTTTTTACATGCAAGACTAGGGGTGAATAGAGGATTGGAAGTGGAGTAAAAGCTAAGGCATTTCAATGCGGTTTTTATATCTCCAAAACATACATACCACGTGCACTCTCTAGACTGAGTATGAAATAAAATACTAGTGAGAAGTAATGGAAGGAGCTGTTCTGTGATGAAGATGATGCCCGTTGGCCTTAAAACGTTTTGTGCTTATAAGCAAGAGACCTGGCTGCGCACACATGTGGGCACGCGCTTTTGTCCCGTGTAGTTTCCCCCCGGTTGTGTATTTCCCTGCAGCTGGGGAGAGCCAGCCCACCTGTAGAAGGGCTTGGAGAGGTTTGATTTTTATTTATTTATTCTTTTTGGACAGAACTCTGGATCGTCCTGGCCACCGAGCACGTACGCCCTTTTGTCCTTGAGACCGCAGAATGCGAGTCATGTTTTAACTGGTGCGTTGACCAAATCTAGGCAGCCGACTGGCCAGTCTCTTTTCAAAAGCCCTTCTACAAAACGTGCTAACTTCCCAAAGAGCTGTCCACGTGCTCCGCTTACGAGAGCTCCCAAGAGTCGCCCTCATCGTGGCCACTATATTTCCTGGTTCTGGGATTGAGGGAGCAGAAGCAAAATATTGGCTTTCCGTAGTGCGAGAGCAGAGTATTAACTTTTAAGCTCGTGATGACCCACAGGCTTTAGCATCGTGCCAGCGTTCTCTGTTTGCGTGTGTTAAGAGCTCGTGTCAAGGAGCTGTCGGAGATCTGTCCTGTAGAAACAAGTGTGTGCTACCTAGGTTTCTCATGCTTTTTTTAAAGCTCTGCAGTTCATAAGTAATGCTGGAAGTAAGGAGTACATGGCCTCATTTAAAGTCTTTTTACAATTATGTTGTCAAAATATTTCTTCTTTTTCTTTGTTTCTGGTACCGCGTTGCAGGAGACGTGTTGATTTAAGAGGGGTTTGTTTCCATGTGTCCTCACTTGGAAGGTGACTTAAAGCAAGTAATGTGTGACCGACTGCAAACACAGGCTGAATTTTAAAACATCAGGAAGGGAGGCGTTATTGTCTCTTACAGTATTTTTTTTTAAGTAATAACGGCATTTAAAAAAATAGTGTCATCCTATTACTTTTAGCTTGGTCATTGAATATCATTTGTAACCACTGGAGACGCAAGTTGATACCTGTGTCCCAATTAAACATGTTCTTTCTAAAACTACGTTACCACATTATTGGAACTTGTTTTCAAGGGAAATGCCAGAATTGCATTGAAAAATTAGTCTTTTTTTTTACTCCTGAAAGGGCGACAACCTTACAAAACAGTGCACCAAACTGTAATTTGACCATAATGCATTTTGCAGAGACTGAGGGGTAAACATGGAAAACTTGCAAATACTTTAAAGATCAACATTTTACCCCATTTCTAATAGATTTTCACAAATTAGAGACCCCCTGAGTGATGTTTGCTTTCATTTTTAAAAATGACACCTGTAATTGCAGTCTATTTAATGCGATGCCTGTAGATCGCTGTGAGAGTGTGAATTAATTTTTCATCTCGGCGTAAAAAATAACATCCCACTTCATTGTCTCTTTTTTCCCCTCCCAGAAACTTCTAGAACTGAACAACCTTCACTCCCTCATGTCTGTGGTATCCGCGTTACAAAGTGCACCTATTTTCAGGCTGACAAAAACCTGGGCTGTAAGTTAACCTCCCGTTATTTCAGATCTTCTCCTTTCTGTTGCACGATTCAAACAGTCTGAGCCTTTTTTGTACTTCATTTGAGTTGAAGCAGGCTAAAGGGAAGTGATTTACCTTCAAGGCTTTGCCATGTTCATCATGGGTTCAGAAGTAATGTTAGTGTTCATTATAAAGTTGGAGTCTAAATAGCTGCAAATCTAAAACCGTCTGGTTCCTGAATGAGAAATGTATATTATTCTACAATTTCTGAATTGCATATTTTAATTTCATTGTGATCTTCATTTACTTGCTTTACTTTCTTTACCTAATGTGTTAGTCGTATTCACTAGTTGTAATGACAGATTACAAGCTCTTTGAGGCAAGGACTGTCTCTACTGTGTGCTTGAACACCACCTAAAATAGTATGGCCCTTATTCTTGGTTAAGCCAGCTAGATATTACTGCAGTACAAACACTAATCCCGTTAAGCTGTTTTTCAGGCGAGCAGTGGTGATAGTTTTCTCTGCATGTCAAACACAATTTTGACATAAAAGTTTTGAAAGCTTGCTCCAAACAACTATGTCCAAGTTAATAGCTCTAAGCATTAGACCTTCTTTAAGTAAGGAGACTTTTACTTCCAGTTCTGCCTTTTGGTGTATGTAGAAAAAATATACATGACAGCCAAAAAGTTTCTGGGTCTGAAAAGCTTTAAAAATCTACTTCTCACCCAGTGCCATCCATCTTGTGCATACACACAGGACTTGCACCAAGACTTGGATGTAAGCAACTGTGGTATGTGTCCATATTTCTGCCATCTTTTTCAGAGACCGTTTACTCAGTTGCAAAAGTACTTACAGAGTTTGTATAAGTATTTGCAAAAATGCTGTTTGTACTAGTGTGCAGATGTGTCAAATCATTTTAAACTGGCTGTTTGACATGGCCAGCGTTCAGAAGGGTAAAGAACACCCTAAACATTTAGCAAGACCAGGAAATGGCCTATTACGAAAATTCAGCTGCTTTACTTAGAAAATGGGACTTATTATGTAAACAGCATTTTTTCCCCTGGAAGCTTAGACACACTTAGCAGGTGGATAATTAAAGCTGTAAGTATGCAGATGCGTAACTGATGTATTGAAATCACTTAGCACCAAAGATCATACGTTTAAGTAGTCCCTGAATAGACTCCTTGAATACAACAATCTGTTGGAAATAGCGTACTTGGAATTGCTCACAGCTCCAAAAGGGATGTATGTTTTTCTTTTCTTCCCGTCTTGGAACCAGACACAATTTTCTGGGCATAAAAGAAATGGGAGCGTGACCTTATTGAAACATTAGGCTCAAGAGGGAAGAGAATCAGTATCTTTATCTGCTTCTTCCTCTTGTCATTTTTTTTGCATTAGCTGTGGAAATACTCCAGAAGAGATCGCGTATTTAAAGAATAGGCAAAAAAACCATCCTTGGCTAAGGAGATAAAAGAATGTTTTTTTGATCCCCTTTTGATAATATATAATGCTGAAAGCTTAAAATGAACCTGTTTTGGGGGACATTTTTTTAACTTGCCTTGGATAAATGATACCTTAGTTTCCACACAGATTTTCTACAAATTGCAAGATGATTTGGCAGTTTGATTAATAGGTGTCAAGACGCTACTAAATCATCTTAACTGTCATTGTGCTAAAAATGTCATGGGGGGGAAGGAGAGTGAGATGGCCTGCTAAAAACTAGACAAAATCTTATGTCATGCAGACTTCTAAAGAAACTTTAATTAATAAATCATTTTAGCAGATCATGGTATGAGAGGCTGATGCCTCCTAATAGCTGCACCATGTGATACTTCTAATATGAGAAAATAAAGAAATACTGGAGACATTGATTCTGCTTTGTTTTATGGCAGGTTCCCGTACATCACCGAGGTTCTGCTCCTGGTGTCTGTTTTGACCACCAGTCACAGGATGGAATAATAGAAAACGAGGGCTGGAAGGGAGCTCAGGAGGGCATCTAACCCAACCCCCCGCTCAAAGCAGGACCATCCCACTATATCATCTCAGCTAAGGCTTTGTCTAGCCTGGTTTTAAAAAACCACTTAGGATGGAGAGTCCGTGCCTTCTTTGGTAGCCTGTTCCAGTGCTTTACTACCCTCTTGGTGAGAGTGGTTAAGTATTAGGAAAAACTAAACTTCCCTTGCTGAATTGGAGACCATTGCTCCTTGTTCTGTCATCTGCCACCACTGAGAACAGTGGCCTCACCAGTGCTAAGTAGAGGGGAACAATCACTTCCCTTGATCTGCTGGCTACGCTTCTACTCATGCAGCCCAGGATGCCATTAGCCTTTGTGGCACCAAGGGCATGCTGTTGGCTTCTATCCAGCTTCTTGTCCCCTCTCACCCCCAGGTCCTTTTCTGCAGAGCTGCTGCCCACCCGCAGCCTGCACCAGTGCATGGGATTGCTCCATCCTGGTTGCAGGACTTTGCACTTGTCCCTGTTGAACCTCGTGAGATTTCTTTTGGTCCGGTCCTCCAATTTGTTGAGGTTTCGCTGAATCCTAGCCCAGCCCTCCAGTGTATCCACTACTCCACCCAGATTAGGGAATATGTCATTTCTGCAGCTTCTCATGCCACTAGCTTGCCTTCTGGAGGGTGAATAAGGGAGTTTGTCACCACTGCCAAAGCATGAACATTTCAACTGGGTTTATGAAATGAGGTAGGTTACTCACATATTGTAGGTATTCAGGTCTTGCATTATATTTAGCTAGTGTTTTCATCTCCTGTTTAATAGAGTGTATTCAGCAGGGTTTTCAGTAATGCCTCTAGTTTAACACAGTGAGTGAAGAGCAAATGGACTGTGAAAGTGGTTGATGATTGTTTGCTGCTGAAAACCTTTTGGGGTTTTTCATTCAAATAATAAATTTTCACTAGCAATGCAAACTAATGTTTAGAGTAAGGGAGTAGAAAACAAGAGAGTAAGGGGAAAAAACTGGATAGATATTTATAGAGAACAGCCCATAATAGAGAAGGCTCCTCAGATGTCCTTGCTTATACTTTCATTAGTACTTTATCTAGTGTTACTTCATTACATTTAAAAATAAATATTCTCTTGGACTCCAGGCTGCTATTATTGAGGCAGATAGTTTAATAAGGAGCACGAGATGTTGACATTAGACTTCTGTCCTGAACCTGCAACTTGGGTTCACTTGTGCAAAACGTGTGCCTGCAAGGAGGCTTCAGCAGGGCTCTTTGTAAGCATGAGCGCCCATCCATGCCAAGCAGGTACTGGCGCTGAAATAGCACCTGCACATAAAGTAGCTAAGGTAATATGGTAGGGGGCTTTAGCCTTGTACTGTGGCATAAGGCTGCAGTCAGATAAAGATGAGAAGAACTTTTCCCCTGCTATAGGAAACTGCAAAATTAAGCTCAGTATGGGAGATTTATTTATTTCTCTGACATTTGTCGTCTCTTCAAAGACAGGATTCTGGATTCCATCCTTTACTCCATTCTAGCAATTTCTATATTCTTTTCTTAAGTCTTTTAATAAAATACCTGCTTGTCGACCCATATGCACTGTTCTGACTGAGGGGAGGGCTCTTCTGCATTGTAGCTGCTGTAGCTGCATCTTGCCTGCAGCCAGGACGTTGCAGGTTTTGGGCTGAGCCCAGCAGCAGCAGTTCTAGTCGCATGTTGCTGTTCCTCCTCCATGGCTGCTGGAGCTCTCTGTAATGTCTGTAATGATAAGTGTCTGTATCCCCCCACGCTCTGACTGGGCTCAGTTCTCAGACTGTGAATAGTAAGGCTGTGCCAATGCTCCTGGTGGGACAAAAGCCAGAGGCTCCTGGCTAGAGGGTCTTGCCCCTCTGCTCGGGGTCAGACCAACACTATATTTGGGGTCAGGAAGGAATTTTATCCCATGGTGAGATTGGTGGGGGTGGGAGGGGGGTTTGCCTTCCTCTGTAGCAGGGGGCATGGCCCTCTACCTGGGACCTCTTGAGCATATATTGACGACATTGTATAGAAGCGGGACATTGGCTGCCGTGGTCCCTCTGCTTTACCTGTGGGAAGTTTGGGTGCTAGGTCTGTGTTGTGCCAGGGTTGACAGTAGCTTTATGTAAAGTTTAGATTATGCTTGTCTGGGATGGTTTGGACAGGGCTGACCCTGCTGCAGGCAGGGGTTGGACTAGATGTGACCTCTGGAGGTCCCTTCCAGCCCCACTTCTCTATGACTCTAAGGATGTACATGAGTGTGCTTGCTAAGTACCACACCCTCATTCTGGGTACTTAGCCAGGAGTGCCCACAGGTTCCCTGTTGTCAGCTCTGCATGCGTGTAGAAACACAAATAATTCTCATAAATCCATTCTTCTCCATCCCAGTTTCTTTGTATTTAAAACTAAACTGTTGCAGGAGAAGGCCCCAGTGGGATTGTGCATGTGCTTAATGTTAACCACATTGTGTAAGTATTTGCAGAATTGTGGCCTGAGAAATGTCATTTTTGTTGGGGGGGAGTTTTCCCTTGCAGGCCCCGAGTACCCAAATGTGACCCCATGCTTTCCTTGTGGCATTCCTTTAAAAGCTACTGAATTTCTTTGTTTTGTACCGGTAAAGGCTAAAAATGAATCGGACAAAACAGCGCATGGGATAGTCAGACCAGTTTGATAATGGCTGGTTGACTCGCTTTACATTGCTTCAGAGGCTCATCTGATTTGAATTTTGATCATCAGATACATTCCATTCTCGTGACTTAAACTGAGTAGATTTATGCTTCTCTACACAATAAAGCAGAGTATCTTCTTCACATCTGGAGTCCAGTGAATAAGTGCCTTAATTAAAATGAGTCATTGCTTATTTTGCTTAACCTTTTAATTTGTATTTAATAACTTACTATGGAATGTGATCAACACAATTATTTAATGCACAGAGAAGATGCTCTTTATTACAGTAGATGTTGGGTTCTGAACAGTCCTTTTATCCACCTGTAGAACCAACGAGAGAGGCTTTTGGAGATGATATACAGCGGGGACAGCAGGCAGTAGCA